GTCCCTGTCACTGCAGGACAGCAACTTGAGGTGTTCTCACGTTCTCTGCTCACCCAGATTGCATCTGTTCTGTGGTTCTGTGCAGGGCCCCAGGGTGGCTGAGTGCTTGGGGAGTGTCCACCTCCCTTGCTGTGCCCTCCTGGCCCTGCTTTCTGAACCCACATGAGGCCTCTGTGGGAGGGGCAGGCATTTACTGGGCAAAGTTGTGTTGGTGCTGTGGTCCTAAGGTGCTCAGTGCATCTAATGGGGACATGGCTTTACAGCTGGCTGGGCTTGAGCAAGCCTTGTGGCCCTGAGGACCAGGTCCTAGGGAGAAGGCTTTCTGGATGGGGCCGCCAGGAGCTGCTGTGCCCCAACTACAGAAGCAGAGGACCAAAGCCAGAGACACAGACAGCAGGAAGAGACAACACTGGGGGAGGAAGTTCAGCGTTGTAATTCAGTGGTTCACTTACCATTTACTGTTGTAGGGAAAATAGAACATGGAGGAAAATAGAAAAAAACGGGAAGAGTGAGTTAGTAAAAATGAGAGGCGTCAAAAGTTACTGGGCCTGCACCATACCTAAGGCTCAGTACTGGCCTCTGGGGGTGGGAGGGGAGTTGCAGGTGCAGGGAGGGCATGGGGGTGGATGCACAGTGGAGCCCCATAATGAAATCCTGAAAACTGGTGCACCGTGTTCTGCGGGCGAGTGGACGGTTGCTTTCTCCCACAGAGCCTCGCGGTGGGAGCAGGGGTGGAGTGACCTGTCAGTGGCAGCAGGATGGGCAGTGTTACATGGCAGGGATGGCTGTTGACTGTCTTGCATTCTGAAAGGACAGTTCCGGGCACCTCAAGATAGGTTTTCTATGCCTGTGTGACTGTGTATGTTGAGTTTCCTTTTAAATTGTTTATTTCTGGGGTGTGTGTATTGGTGGAAAACTTTGGATTTAGTAGAGTATCTGAGATGAATCTGAATGGATTCTTCCCAATCTCCTGGCTTGTGTACCTGGAGGGTTGGAGTTGTTGTGTCCTGTGATGGGCGAGGCCACAGGCACAGGATTAGGGGTTTGGTGTGAGGCAGGTCATGTGTGAGGTACCTGCTTGATAGCCAAACAGGCGTGCCAAGTGGTTGAGTAGGGGTCTGGAGTTGAGGAGAGAGGACTGGGCTGAGGTTTAGAGCAGGCCATAGTTCACACCTGCATCCTCTCGCAAGCCTGAGACAGGATGAGATTACCAAGGGAGTGAGAGTAGAGAAGGTGAGGGGAGAGAGAGCAGTGTGTTCCAGGACGACGATGGTGAGGGAGGTGATGGGGTCAGGGAGCTTCCAGTGTTGTACTTAGCAGCTTTGTGATCTAGGGCAAGTAACAGAACCTTCCTAAGTCTGAGCTTTCTCATTTGAAAGGGGTTGCAATAGTACCTACCTCGGGGTTGTGATGACGGAGGGAGCGCGTGATTCACATAGGATATGTGCAGGGTGGCAGGAAGGCTGGAGAGGGATTGTGGGGAAGGATCTTGGGGACTTTGAAAGGCCTGTCTGAACTTGATCGAGTTGGCTGTGGGGCACCGTTTCCTGAGCAGGGCGAGGCTGTTACAGTGCCGTAATGGCACAAAGGAAGGTGCGTTTGGGGGTGATGGCAGCAGCTAACAGGAGTTTTTGGGGCCTGGACAATGGGACTGGCATGCTGGGGATGAAGAGGAGGTGGGAAGCAAGGACTCAGTTCTTCCTGGCTGACTGAAAGTGTGGGAGGAGCGAGAGGGGCATCTGAGTTGGTGCCAGGTTTCAGGGTACAAGAATGGAGAAAGGGTGGAGGCAGGAAGTGGGCAGTGGAAGCGGACTTTTCAGTTACATTATTTTGGTTTTTCGCTCAGTTTGAAACCTTTTGACCTTAAAGTACTGTAGGGCTTCTAGGTGAAAATGTCTTGGGCGACCTGTTTCAGAGGGGGTAGGGTGGGCAGGGAGGATGGCTCCCGAAGGCAGGAAGGACGGAGAGAGAAGCAGCAGCTGAGCTGGTGTTGGAGGACTGATGTGAGGGGTGGCTGGAGTCTAGGGCTGGAGGTTTCAGGAAGTGCACAGGGACAACAGAGATGAGGTGAGGATAGGGAACGCCTGGGGTCAGGGCATATTTTCTGCATCACAGCCTTGCCTCTGGTGTTTAGAAATATCCTCCCTTGGGGGACTGATCAGAGAGGGCTGTGAGCTCTCGGGCACTGAGACTGACTCAGTTGCTGGTCTAGGCTGGCTTCATGTTAGAGACCTGTGAGCATTTCAGCAGGAGGTAGAGCTGCCAGTGGGTTTCTGGTGCAGAACAGGAGCCATGTTCTGAAGTGGCTGGGGACTCCAGCCGTTGTGGTCACTGAGCTGGTCTCACAGCAGGGGGCTAGGTTAGTTCTGGTGAAGACACCTCCCCTCCCCCATCTTTACCTTGACTTCTCAGTGTTTTGTTGTTTTGCCCATGAGCCACAGTTTTGGAGCTATGATTGATCTGGAACGGAGTCTCGTTTCTGAGTCTTCAGAAGTCTCTGACTCAAATCTTTTTTATTTTAATTTTTTGGTGACAGGGTCTCACCCTGTTGCCCAGGCTGAGTGCATTGGTGCAGTCTTAGCTCACTATAGCTTCGAACTTCTGAGCTCAAAACGATCCTCCCGGCTCAGCCTCCAGAGTTGCTTGAACTACAGGCGTGAGCCATGCTGGGCTGGTTCAGAACTTGTAGATTGGAAGTTGAGAGCGAACCGTGGAGGGGAAGGCATTGATCGTTACGTAGAATCATCCTGCCCTGGTGCTGCGTCGGCCCACGATAGCCCTGCAGGCTGCAGAGGGTCGCAGGACCCGAGGCCCTCCAGCGAGGATGCCTGCTTGACAGGAAAATGAAGACGGCGGAAGCCAGGGCCTGGTGCCCACCCTCTCACCCATGAGCTTGGTGCAGCACAGGCGGTTCTATCCAGCTTACACTTGCTCAAGAAGACGGATTATGTCGTTTCCTCTGTGTCTTTTTTCCTTTGAGTTGGACGACTTGATTGCTAAACCGGGAACATTTGTAATAAGTTGGACTTAAGTAGAAGTTTTCAGGAAGGGGAGACGATGGATTTTATTGAGCCTTCTGAGAGAGACTGGCAGGTGCCTGGGGTGGGTTGTACCCCCATGCCCTTTTTCTTTTTTTAAAAAAATTGTGAGACGGGGTCTTGCTGTGTTGCCCAGGTTAGAGTACAGTGGCACGATCTAGGCTCACTGCAACCTCCACCTCCCAGGTTCAAGTGATTCTCCTGCTTCAGCCTCCTGAGTAGCTGGGATTATAGGCATGTGTCACCACACCTGGCTAATTTTTGTATTTTTAGTAGAGATGGGGTTTCACCATGTTGTCCAGGCTGATCTCGAACTCCTGACCTCAAGTGATCTGCCCGCCTCAGCCTCCCATGCCCTTTCTGGGATTGCAGGCATGAGCCACTGCACCCAGCCTTTCATGCCCTTTCTTAAGGCCTCTTTTTGCAACGTTGCTTCTCATTTGCTAAATAACTGTGCTAGTAGGGGGTCAATAATGTGTTTTTGAGATCAAGATTTAAAATATAGTTATTCTGGTTTTCTCTGGTTCCAAGTAATTTCTCTTGTGCTTTCAGCCTCTGCTTGGGGAGTTCTCGGAGCTCCTTAGTCTTGGGACTGTCACCCCGAGAATGGTGCAGTGGAGGAACTCAGAAATAGCAGTGTCATTGTTGAAAAGCCACTTGAGCTGTACAGCAGAGGGTCAGAGATAACAGAGTGTTTCCGTACACTCTTCTTCAGTTCACCGGTGGGGAAACTGTCTGGAGACAGTGCACGTGCCCAAGATGCTGCAGCCCTGCCCTGTGTACCTGCACTCCGCAGAGGTGGCTCTGGGACGGCTCCAACCTACACCAACTCCTCTGGGCAAGCCCTGCGGCTTCCCCTCAGGGAGCACTTCACATAACCTGGCACGTTTATCAAAACGAAGACATTGACCTTGGTGCCATACTGTTAACTGAACTACAGGCTTTATTTGCATTTCCCCACCATCTAGTCTATTTAGCTTTGTGTTTTTGTTTTTTTTTTTTTTAACTGAAAAGGCCCTGAGCAGCTGCCTAGGAATCTTCCATTCTGCAATTTTTGTTTGTTTGTATTTGAGACGGAGTCTCACTCTGTCGCCTGGCTAGAGTACAGTGGTGCGATCTCTGCTCACTGCAACCTCCAACCCCCTGGTTCAAGCGATTCTCCTGCGTCAGCCTCCTGAGTAGCTGAGATTATAGGCATGTGCCACCACGCCCAGCTAATTTGTTTTTTGTTTGTTTTGTTTTTTTTTGAGACGGAGTCTAGCTCTGTCACCCAGGCTGAAGTGCAGTGGCGCCATCTTGGCTCACCTTGGAAGCTCCGTTTCCTGGGTTCACGCCATTCTCATGCCTCAGCCTCCTGAGTAGCTGGGACTACAGGCGGCCGCCACCATGCCTGGCTAACTTTTTGTGTTTTTTAGTAGAGACGGGGTTTCACCATGTTAGCAGGATGGTCTCGGATTTCCTGACCTCATGAGCCGCCCGCCTCAGCCTCCCAAAGTGCTGGGATTACAGGCCTGAGCCCCTGGCCGCTAATTTTTGTATTTTTAGTAGAGACAGGGTTTCATTGTGTTGGCCAGGAATGGTCTCAATCTCCTGACCTCATGATCCACCCACCTCGGCCTCCCAAAGTGCTGGGATTACAGGCATGAGCCACTGCGCCTGGCCCTTTGCAGTGTTAAAGCAATAACATATTAAACACACCATGCTTACACTAAGGAATAGACTTGACACCTGGGTTAACTGCGGAAGGTCAGAGGAGACACTTCTTTCCGGTCCAGGCTTCACACTGCAGGGCTTGCCCAGAGGAGGTGGTGTAGGTTGGAGCCAGCAGCGCCATCCCAGAGCCACCTCTGCGGAGTGTGGGTGCAGAGGGCAGGGCTGCGGCATCTTGGGCACGTGCACTGTCTCCAGACCTCAGTTTCCCCATCTGTGAACTGAAGGTGTTGAGTTTGCTCCCTGAGGTATTCCTATGGCTCCTGGGCCTCTGAGGATCTGTCAAGCCCCAGAGCTTAGTTGGGGCCGCGCTGCCTCCTTCCCCAGCTCTCGTCTCATGTTCGTGGGTGAGTGTTTTCACCGAGTCCCAGGGCAGCCGTGGAGGCACCTATTTTTTATTTCTTCACTCAGTGACCTTGGTCTGTGTGCTCACTGCCCAGGTGGCCACGCAGGCCCTGCTGGGAGCAGCGGGCCCAGCCTTATCAGAGTCACGTCCCAGAGGTGTTTACTCACGGCCTCACCCTGGCCCTGAGGCGGGCCTGGCGGTGACTGCCTGTTCTGCAGCCGCAGTCTCAGGCACATGCTGTGGGGGTGTGGGCACGCAGGCCCGTGTGAGCTTTGGACCGTGAAGCCAGTAACCTTCCTGCAGGGCCGGGCTGGGCCTATGTCTGCCTCCCCGGGTGGGTGTGCAGCTGCCTGTCCCCGAGGTGAGGTGCCCAGGGTCCTTCCTGCTGGCCTGACTCCTAGGACCAGAACATGCGAGGACGACGGAGAACACAGAAGACAGAGCGAAACAGACAGCACCGCGTGTCCGTCTGGTCTGTGGGTCTCCTCCTCAGGGCACAAGGCGGGGGATGGCCGCACCCCTTTTGTCGGTGGTTTGATTGGGACACATTCATGCTCATGCGTCCCATGCTGCTCCGAGAAGCAGAGCTGTGCCTTGCGACAGACCGAGTGTTCCCAAAGCCTCACGTGTACTGCCTGGGCCTTTACAGATTTTTCTTTTGTTTCTTGGCCCCTGATACAGGGTGTTCTAAAAGAAATGATTCTGCCCCCAGTGTTTTCCTGTGACCGGGCAGGAACCTGGCAGGGCGAGTGGGTTTCCCCATTGGTATAAATCACAGAGAACTGCACAGCAAGGCAGCGTCCACGCTGGTGGGTGGCATGAGGGGAACCTGAAGTTGTGGAGGACTTGGGACGGGAGGAATCAGGCTGTGGGCTCATCGGAATGGCAGAGGAGTGTGGTGCTGGCAGGACCTGGAGCTTCAAGTGGAGCCTGATGGTGTCACCCATGTAGGCTGTGTGCTTGTGGGTGTGTCTGTGTGTGTGCGCGCGCGTGTGTGTATGTGCGTGCGTGGAGTGGGTAGTAGGGTCTGGTCACTGCCTCTGTGGCAGTGACCCCTGGGGGGTCTAGGAGCCCCAGTGTGTTCTCCTCGAGTGTGGGGTTGGTGTGCTGCGTGCAGACCGTGGTGACCGGTGTGTCCACGGACCCTCTAACCCAGAATGTGCAGGAACGCATGGCTCCTGGATCGGCCGCCGAGGCTCTTTTTTTCAGGAGGTCACCTGGTGGCAGTGCAGGCCCACTTCAGAAGTGAGGGGCCGGGAGGGGAGGTGGGCAGTGTCGTGTGGGGGAGGGGTGTTGCTGTAGGGCTGCTTTCATGTGACCCCCGGGCCTTCCCCTGACCGTCCCTCACTGCTGGCTTCTGCCCCCAGGCTGGCGCCCATGCGGCTCTACACGCTCTCCAAGCGCCACTTTGTCCTCGTGTTTGTCGTCTTCTTCATCTGCTTCGGCCTGACCGTCTTCGTTGGGATCAGAGGTAAGGTTCGGTTTTTACTCTGAATCTTTTGCCATGTGTAGTGGCCCTGGCGCGTTGCTTTCAACCAGCCCAGCTGTGCCCCTGTCTCCCACTGCCAAGGGCCCCAGCACGGAGGGAGAAGTGCCCACAGGGTGGATGGGTACCAGTCCTGCGCTTCTAGCTGCTCTGTTTCTCCTGGGGGAGCTGCAGTGAGTAGCCCCAAGTGACCCTGTCTCTGCCCTGTGCAGCAGCCAGGGGCAGCCTTGACCACATGCCTTCACTGGCCAAGCAGACATTTCTAATCTGCTGTGCACCAGGCCCAGCTGGGCACTGGTGCATTCAGGACATGCTGCCTGGTGGGGGAGACAGGCCACGAAAGAGCTCCGATGCAGCTGATGGGGTTGGGAGGAGAGTTGAGGGGCTGACGGCTGTGAGCATGGGGCGGGGTGGCTGCAGGAGCAGTGAGATCATCTAGGCCAACGCCCTTTCTCATGGATGGAGAACCTGAAAAGCCAAATGGTTTTCACAAGGTTCCCAGAGACCCAGGTGTCTTCAGCCCTGTGCACAGGGCAGGCAGCCAGGAGCCTGACTTGTTTGGAGAGAATGTATTCCATTGCTATGTTTCCGTCTTAAATATCTGTCTCCATAAGGGTGATTTCTAGTAGATGTTATTTAATCGATTTACTTAATACTAAAGTGTGAACGGCAATTAGGCTTAACCTGTCCCAGAGGCAATTTGTGCCTCAAAAGGCTAGTTTCTTACCCAAAACTGGGTTGGTAAATGGACGAGGAAGCTGGAGGGGGGAGGGTGGCTCTTCAGGTGTTGTTTATCTGATGGGGATGGTGATAATAGCAACTGTAGCCAACTTCTTTTCCCTTAAGTCATCAAGAAGTAAAAATTACCTTAATTACAGCACAAGATATATCCATGATCTTACTTGATTTTCACTGTTGTCATTTAAGATTGGTAGGGGAGGCATTAATATTCTCATGGTCTCCAGTCTCAGTGGGACCTCAGCCACCTTCTGTTCCTTTAAGCTACTCTTCTGTCGCAAACGACCATGATTATATCAAACCGTCTCCACTCTTGCAGAAATGTAAAGTGATGCACCACAGCTGAGATTCAAGAGATGTCAGGATGTCTACATTCCCTTCTTTCTTTCCATGCAGTACTCTATTAGTCAGAGTTCTCCAGAGAAACAGAATCAATAGGAAATATCTGTGTATCTGCCTGCCTGCCTGCCTGCCTGTCTGTCCTACCTGTCTGTCTATTATAAGGAATTTGCTTACATGGTTATGGAAGCTGACAAGTCCAAAGATCTGCAGTCAACAAGAAAGAGACCAGGAGAGCCCATGATGTAGTTCCAGTCCAAGCCCAAAGGCATGAGAACTAGGAGAGCTGATGGAGTAAATTCCAGCCGAGTCCAGGTTGGAGTCTGAAGGCAGGAGAAGACCAGTGTCCCAGCGGGACATAGAGAGAGAGAGCCCGGGCAGAGAGAGCAAATTCTCCCTTAGTCAATATGTTTTATTCAGGAGGTCTTCAGTGGATTGGAGGAGGAGTCCACCCACATTGGAGAGAGCAGTCAGCTTGACTCAGTCTACCGATTCACATGTTAATCTCATCCAGAAACAACCCACAGACACAACAGAATAACGTTTAACTGAATGTCTCGGCACCCTGTGGCCCAGTCATGTTGACACATAAAATTAAGTATCACAAGTACTCTGCTCCTGATTATTTCATGTGATAAGGTTATTATTATTTTAGAGTTATGAGTACCTTAGGGGACTATTGGCTTAGTAACATTTTGCAAATGAGGAAATCAAGACCCAGAAAGCCTTGTTAGTGAAGACTAGAGTCCAGATTCTTCTTTTTTTTTTTTTTTTGCCCAGGCTAGCATGCGGTAGTGAGATCTTGGCTCACTGCAACCTCCTCCTCCCAGCCTCCCAAGTAGCTGGGATTACAGGCACTTGCCACCACACCTGGCTAATTTTTTTTGGTATTTTTAGTAGAGACAGAGTTTCACCGTGTTGGCCAGTCTGGTCTTGGACTCCTGACTTCAGGTGATTTATCTGCCTTGACCTCCCAAAGTGCTGGGATTACAAGTGTGAGTCACCGCAGCCAGCTGAGTCTAGATTTTTCTGATTCCCAGTTCTTAATTCTTTCCAGGAAACCAGACTGCCTTACTTCCTGGGTTAGGAGTTCACTCAGATTGTGAATCTGTTTAAAAGGAGCCTCATTGTGAACACAACCCTTCTTCCTACATTTGATGTATCCTTCTCAGCATTCCTAAATGGATTCCAGAGACAGGTTATTGCCTTGGTTGTGTATTTCCTCCTTTTGAGTGGAGGATTGTTGGTGGCAGACGGGGGGTGGTCACTGAGGCAGCCCGGAAAAACTGACATCACCAGTTGAGAGTGATACGTTTTGGAACAAATCCAGTTTTTTTTTTTTGGAGACACAGTCTTGCTCTGTCGCCCAGGCTGGAATGCAGTGGCACGATCTCGGCTCACTGCAAGCTCCGCCTCCCGGGTTCATGCCATTCTCCTACCTCAGCCTCCCGAGTAGCTGGGACCACAAGAGCCTGTCACCATGCCCAGCTAATTTTTTTGTATTTTTAGTAGAGATAGGGTTTCATCGTGTTAGCCAGGATGGTCTCGGTCTCCTGAACTCATGATCCGCCCACCTCAGCCTCCCGAAATGCTGGGATTACAGGCGTGAGCCACTGCGCCTAGCCGGAACAAATCCAGTTCTAAATTAAATTAAAATCAGATTCACAGTGTTTCTTTTGACTACTTCTTTTAAGGCCAAAACTTTGAGGAAATACATTGTAAGAATCTGTGAAGCTTGGAGAGGATTCTGGGAAGATGGTGGTGTAGGAATCGATGTTTTCTACTTAGACAACAGCTGCAGTGTCAGAATCTGTATGGCGTAACTGTTTTGGAACTCCAGAGTGTATTGAAGGCTTGCCACTTCGAAAGGAATTCTTGTACATTAGACTGTGGTTACTTTTGGTCAGTGCAGCTCTTAGCACAGTAGCAGGTACCCATCCTCCATTGCAGGCCTATAGCAGGCAGCTGAATGTGTGTTCCTAGAGCTTATAGAAACCAAGGTGGTCAAAAAGGACTGTGTCTTCCAGATATCAGGGATCTGTGCTCTAATGGCTGATGCTGCTTCTGATCACAGAAGTACGATGAAGTAAGAGTGGCTGCTGCTGTACCTCTCTCAGTTGTTGCAAGCCCATCCCCCGCCAACTGATGTTGCTTCCAGGGGATTTAAAGGGCTGGTACTTTTTTATCCCTTCATTTTTCCCTTTTTCCTTTCTTGGGAATCAGACATTGAAGACCAGGACATTCAAAACTGCTAATACAGGGAAATTTAGAAAGTCACCACATCTGCCCAGAGGAAGGCACAGGCTCAGAAAAGACCTGAGAAGACCTTAAGTTTAAACCTCAGGCTGATCCTTTGCACAGAGACAGTCTATAACAACACCAAAAACAAACGTACAAAAATGAATAACAGCAAACCCTGAGGAAGGGGAAAGTCTGGTTTCCAGAGTTAAGTATCCACTTTTCGACAAAAGGTCACAAGGCGTCTGGGCGTGGTGGCTCACGCCTGTAATCCCAGCACTTTGGAAGGCCAGGGCTGGTGGATCGTGACGTCAGGAGATTGAGACCATCCTGGTTAACATGGTGAAACCCCGTCTCTACTAAAAATACAAAAAACTTAGCCAGGTGTGGTGGTGGTCTCCTGTAGTCCCAGCTACTCAGGAGGCTGAGGCAGGAGAATGGCGTGAGCCTGGGAGGCGGAGCTTGCAGTGAGTCGAGATCACGCCACTGCACACCAGTCTGGGCGACAGAGCCGGACTCCGTCCCCCAAAAAAAAAAAAAAAGGTCACAAGGCAAACAATAAAGTATGGCCCATCAAAAGGAAAAAAAAATGAACTGTCAGAATCTGTCTCTGACTAAGACCATGTGATAGATCTGTTAGGCAGAGACTAAACTGTCTTAAAGATGCCCAGAGAACTAAAGGAAGAGACAGGGAGACTGTCAAGAAAACAACGTATGAATAAAAAGATAGAAAACCTAAAAGGAAACCAAAAAGAAATTCTGGAGATGAAAAATATGCTAGAGTGATTCAAAGGCAGATTTGAACAGGTAGAGGAAAGAATCAGTGAATCGGAAGATAGGACAGTGGAAATTTTTGAGTCTGAGGAACAGAAAAACAGAAGAGAAATGAACAGAGACAGAGGGACCTTGGGGACACTCAAATGGAGCAACATACACACTGTGGGAGTCTGAGAGGGAGAAGAGATAGAGAATGGGTCAGAGAATATTTCAAGCAGTGATGACTGAAAACTTCCCAAATTTGGTGAAATGCAAATATAAACATCCAAGAAGCTCGACAAACTCAAAGTAGGATGAACTCAAAGAGACCCACACCGAGATATAATCAAACTGTAGAAAGCCAAAGACAGAATCTTGAAAGCAGCAAGAGAGTGACTCATCACATACAAGGGATCCTCAGTAAGTTTGTCAGCAGATACCTCATCAGAAACTTCGGAGGCCAGAAGGCAGTGGGCTGATACATTCAAAATGCTAAAAGAAAACTGTTGGCCGGGCCCGGTGGCTCACACCTGTAATCCCAGTACTTTGGGAGGCTGAAGCGGGTGGATTACCTGAGGTTAGAAGTTCGAGTCCAACCTGACCAACATGGTGAAACCCCATTTCTACTAAAAATACAAAAATTAGCCAGGCATGGTGGTGCGTGCCTGTAATCCCAGCTACTTGGGAGACTGAGGCAGGAGGAAACACTTGAACCCAGGAGGGGAGGTTGCAGTGAGCTGAGATCGCGCTATTGTACTCCAGCCTGGGCAACAACAATGAAACTTTGTCTCAAAATTTAAAAGAAAAAAAAAAAAAAGGAAGCAGGGTATTGAGGAGATATTTGTACACCCATGTTCATAGCAGCATCATTCACACTAACTGAAATTGTGGAATCAACCACAGTATCCATTGACAGATAAATGAACAGAGGAATGAAATGTGGTATACACATACAATGGAATATTTAGCCTTAAAAAGTAAGGAAATTCGGCCAGGCGCGGTGGCTCATGCCTGTATTCCCAGCACTTTGGGGAGCTGAGGTGGGCGGATCACAAGGTCAGGAGTTAAAGACCAGCCTGACCAACATGATGAAACCCCATCTCTACTAAAATACAAAAATTAGCCGAACGTGGTGGTGAGCACCTGTAATCCCGGCTACTCGGGAGGCTGAGGCAGGAGAATTGCTTGAACCTGGGAGGCAGAGGTTGCAGTGAGCCGAGATCGTGCCATTGCACTCTAGCCTGGGCAATAGAGTGAGACTCCGTCTCAAAAAAAATAAAAATAAAAATAAAAATAAGAAACAAAGGAATTCATACAGAAGCTATAATATGGTTGAATTTTGAGGACATTATACTTAGTAAAATAAGCCAGTGGCAAAAATGTAAATACTGTAAGATTCACTTACATGGGGTACTTAGAGTAGTCAAAATCATCAAGACAGAAAGTAGAGTGGTGGCAGCCAGGGGCTGGGAGAGGGGAATGGGGAATTGTTTGATGGGCACAGCGCTTCAGTTTTGAATTGCGGAGATGGATGGCAGTGATGGTTGTATGGTATGGACGCACTTACTACCACTGAACTGTACACTTAAAAATGGTTAAGATGGGCATGGCACAGTGGCTCACACCTGTAATCCCAGCACTTTGGGAGGCTGAGGTGGGCGGATCACCTGAGGTCAGGAGTTAGAGACCAGCCTGACGAACATGGTGAAACCCTGTCTCTACTAAAAATACAAAATTAGCCGGGCGTGGTGGCGCATGCCTGTAATCTCAGTTACTCAGGAGACTGAGGCAGGAGAATTGCTTGAACCCAGGAGGCGGAGGTTGTGGTGAGCTGAGACTGTGTGATTGCACTCCAGCCCGGGCAACAAGAGCAAAAATAAAATGTTTAAGATGTCAAGTTCTTGGATCTATAGAAAAAAAAAATGGTTAAGATGGTAAGTTGTTGGGTCTATAGAAAAAAAATGGTTAAGATGGCAAATCTTATTATATTTTATCACAGTAAAAATTGGGAAAAAAGCATCTATGAGGTTCGTATACCTGTTATTTCAGTTAAAACTTTATGCTTTCCTGCTTATATTAGCAAATATTATGTTTATAGCCCTTAACAAATATTTTTGGAAGACGAGATTAATTGGATGAGCAGATAAATGTGTCTTAGATTTTGGAAGAAATCTTTATATTTTACAGAATATATAAGACAGAGTCTCTGTAGTTAATGCCTTCTTGGGCCCATGCATGTAGAGAGAGTTCTCATTGAGAGCTTAGCAGGGCGTTTCCTGTGGAAACCCTCTGTGTTGTGTGCCAGTCATGTTGGTTGACTTGTGTTGGCAAATCGTGAAGCATAGCAGAGTGTATATTCTGTGTCTGTGTTTGTGTGTTTATATCTTTTACTTACACATTGTATAATCTCTAAAGAAAAACCAGGTAAATTAAGGCCATCTCCGTGTAATGTATGAGTCTTTCTTGGAATTTGGGGAAAAAAAACTAAATATGAGTATCACTATAACCTGCTTTTATCCTTTTCTGTTACACTTTAGGACCTAAAGTGATCCAGACTTCTGCGGCTAATTTTTCACTAAATAATAGCAAAAAGGTAAGACTGAGTCTGAGTGGCAGCTGGGTGGTGGGGTACATTATAAACCTCAGGTCACTGAGAAATTGTTCTGCTTAGAATCTTTAAGGTAGCCCGCCCTTGCCTTGGCTTCTCAGGCAGCACACATTTCGTCTTCCATTGTCAGCCACTGGCCTCTGGGTTCTTGTTTGCTGAAGTCACCATTTCTGCTGTAACAAACATCTCAGTACTTAGGAAGATGGTAGTATTACCTCTTAGGGAGCAATTGTTCATTTCCGAAGAGTGGTTAACTCATCCTGATTCCTTGCCTCTGTAAGTCATATCAGATTGTAATTTTTAATAATGATACCAGTTAGGTGTCTCATCTTTCTCATATTTGCCCAGGTTAAGAATTGGCCTCTGTCAGGTTTCTTTTTTTTTTTTTTTTTTTTTTTTGAGACGGAGTCTTGCTCTGTAGCCCGGGCTGGAGTGCAGTGGCCGGATCTCAGCTCACTGCAAGCTCCGCCTCCCGGGTTTATGCCATTCTCCTGCCTCAGCCTCCGGAGTAGCTGGGACTACAGGCGCCCGCCACCTCGCCCGGCTAGTTTTTTTGTATTTTTAGTAGAGACGGGGTTTCACCGTGTTAGCCAGGATGGTCTCGATCTCCTGACCTCGTGATCCGCCCGTCTCGGCCTCCCAAAGTGCTGGGATTACAGGCTTGAGCCACCGCGCCCGGCCTCAGGTTTCTAATGGTACAGTTCTTTCTAATGATTACTTTGTATTCCTTGCATGAACTCAGTTTAAATGAAAAATCCTTTAAAAAAATACACCTTAACTTGGCCGGGCGAGGTGGCTCATGCCTGTAATCCCAGCACTTTTGGGAGGCTGAGGCGGGCAGATCACGAGGTCAGGAGATTGAGACATCCTGGCTAACACGGTAAAACCCCATCTCTACTAAAAATACAAAAAAATTAGCTGGGCGTGGTGGCGGGTGCTTGTAGTCCCAGCTACTCAGGAGGCTGAGGCAGGAGAATGGCGTAAACCCGGGAGGCGTAGCTTGCAGTGAACCGAGATTATGCCATTGCACTGCAGCCTGGGTGACAGAGTGAGACTCCATCTCAAAAAAAAAAAGCCTTAATTTTTTACCCCCTTTGGAGAAAAACAGAGGTTCTTTCAATTGGAAAATTTTGATTTCCTTGAATAAATGCTAACTTGAGAGAGCCTGGACAACTAAACCTTTTTGTGTGTGTGAAATATAACTATCTATAAACTGAACACAGTTGCCCTGCATCTTTGAGGCACCATGATATGTATAGTTTAAATCTGATTGTATGACCCCAAATCCCCCTTCCCTCTGTTCTCACACTTCCCTGCTAGTTTTCTACCCTTATAATTTTGCAAAAAGGCAAAAGAAGAAAAAGTACTAAAACTTACACCATTTGATTCTTCTCTTTGCTACTGGTAGTTGGAAAGGGCCCTCTGCATAGCCTGTCTTCACATTTCCTTTGCATTGCTTTATTTTCTTTCACTGTTGACCTGATGATCTGATTTGAAGAGGTGCTGCCATGGACTTTCCTGGTAGTAGTTCATCTTTTACAATTTCAGTCTCTCAGGGTGAGTCTTTTTTTGACACTGAACACAGCAGCCGTTCCACTGAACTGACTTGCTTCCAAGAGACCATCCTCACTTCACTAAGACAGTAGCTCATTCCTGGAGAGATTTCCTGCCTTGATGGTTTTTAGGCAAGTCTTTAGTCTTAGGGATTTTTATTGAGACCCTGACAGAAGTATTAAGACACAAAAACACATTCATTTGAGACTAGCCTGGGCAACATAGGGAGACTGTCTCTACAACAAACTTAAAAATAAGCTGGGTGTGGTGGGGCATACCTGTCGTCTCAGCTACTTGGGAGGCTGAGGTGGGAGGACCACTTGATCCTGAGAGGCTGAGGCTGCAGTAAGCCATGATTGCACCACTGCACTCTAGCCCTGGGTGACAGAGCATCACCTTGTCTCAACAAAACAAAACAAAACAAAACAAAAAAACAAAAAAAAAACCACACACACAATCACCTCCAAAGACGATGCATTCAAATAATGCTTTTCTTTGGAACCATGGATGGGCTGCTTCAGTAAATCTCTCTGTGGTCGGCTGTTATTAAACACCAATATTACATCTTTCAAAAGATACTGCAGAAGAATCATTGACAACATTCATCTCCTCTAATTTTTCTCCCCAGGGGTGTCAAGACTTTCAGAAACGTAAAAATAGCAGACGTCAAAGAGCAATTTGCCTGGCATATAGATACTAAAGAAATAATTCTTGGCTGGGTGCGGTGGCTCATGCTTGTAATCCCAGCACTTTGGGAGGCCAAGGTGGGCTGATCACAAGGTCAGGAGTTCGAGACCAGTCTGATTCAGAGACAATGAAACTCCATCTCTACTAAAAATACAAAAATTAGCTGGGTATGGTGGCAGGTGCCTGTAATCCCTGCTATTTGGGAGGCAGGAGAATCACTTGAACCTGGGAGGCAGAGGTTGCAGTGAGCTGCAGTGAGCTGAGATCTCCAGCCTGGGCGACAGAGCTAGACTCCGGTCTCAAAAAATAATAATTGTTGAGATATGTTATCTTGTAACTATGAAAGCATTCCTTTGGTATTCTTTATTATTTTATTATGTATCTCATTCTGCTCATTTTATTGTTTTTCTAAGATGGTTTTTTTCTTGGTATTTAAGTAAGTGTATTGTCCCCAAGGGTCCAAATGTGGAAGGTGCCTGCTTAGAGGTTTCTGTGAGAGACAGACATGAATTGGAGCTGGAAGTTAGTCCTTTCTTCTTCTGGAAGGCAGAATGTCACTTATGTAGTTGAAAGGAAAACCTCATGGCCGGACGTGATGGCTCACGCCAGTAACCTAGCACGTTGGGAGGCTGAGGAGGGCGGATCATGAGGTCAGGAGATAGAGATCATCCTGGCTAACACAGTGAAACCCCATCTCTACTAAAAATACAAAAAATTAGCTGGGCATGGTGGCAGGCACCTGTAGTCCTGGCTACTCAGGAGGCTGAGGCAGGAGAATGGCGTGAACCCGGGAGGCAGAGCTTGCAGTGAGCTGAGATCGCACCACTGCATTCCAGCCTGGGCGACAGAGCGAGACTCCGTGTCAAAAAAAAGAAAAAGGAAAACCTCACATATGTCTGTTTCAGAGCTAACACTCAAGACTTTTTTGCTAAAAGTAAAGTTTGTGTGTTAACATGATGAGGTATTTGGTAGACTCAATGAAAAGGTCACATGGATTACTTTGTTTTTTTTTCTTCAGCTAAAGCCAATTCAAATACTTTCAAATCCACTGTCTACATACAATCAGCAACTATGGCTGACATGTGTTGTTGAGTTGGATCAATCAAAAGGTATGGAGCTTAACATTTTGGGATGATTTTTCTTTGTATGAAGAAACATCGTATTTTAGATGTTGACTTCAGAATATTTGGACAAGTGCTCAAAGATAGATGTATGAGGATGTCCATTATTATTATAGCAACAAATTGGAAACCCCTTAAATGTCTTCCTGTGGGAGAGAAAGTTACGACAGATACACGTCCTCCGTAGAGTCCTGGTCAGCTTAGCTCAGTGGCTGCCTGGTGTCGGTGCTACAGCTGCCAGCCTTTTCCAGTGAGGATCTGGGAGAGGATTAAGACCTGATGCCCTAAAGTAATGGTTCTGGCCCCCCAGGGACACTTGCCAATGTCTTGAGACAATTTTGTCACAAATGGAGAGGAGGAGCGAGTGCTCCTGGCATCTCGTGGGGAGAGGGCAGAGATGCCGACACCTCCCGCCCACTTCCACAACAAGGAATTATCTGGCCCAAAATGTCAGTGATGCAGAGGCTGAGAAACCCTCCCCTAATGCATCCATTGTTCAGGATGAGTTAGCTTCTGTCAATCTACAGTGGCACTAGCTTTATATCATCCTGGGGAGAATGGAGAAGAGACCCAAATCATTTTCTGTTCTGTGGTTCACATGAGACACTCTGGTTGAGAAAGGATTTGAAAAGATAACCCCATGACCACAGTAAATGAAGTGAAACAAACACGTATTACAAAAAAATTATCCCCTCTTTGTACCATTTCAGAAAGCAAAAAATTCAAATTACTAGGTATTCGTATATCTATAAAATGGTCTGGAAGGATAGACATAAAATATGAATTGTGATTATCTCTACGTGGTGAAATTCTTAGTATTTAATCCGTCTTTATATTTTGTTATGATTTTTTAAATGAGAATATAATTGGAAAAACCTATAATTAGAAGAAATCAGAAATCTGTTTCTATTTTTGGTATAGAATTTGGTAAGTTAAAAATGTATGTGAGAAATTAAAAATACAAGTTCATTAACCATCCGTTTTTTTGTGTGTGAAGTGGAAGTGAAACTGATGGATCTGAAGTGCAGGTTTTGACATAGACCCCCTGGGTCTTGGGTTGGAATCTAATGGAAAGGCTTTGTTTGCTGGGCAATTAAGAGATTTTCAAATGTACTGAGGCCAGTGTGGCCTAAGGACCTTACGGGCTTTCTGTGTTTTCCTGGCTCCAAGGTCATTACAGAGCCCGGAAGGCACCTTTGTAGGTGTGATGTGCCTGGCATGGTCTCTAACACTGAATTTTTTTCTTTTGTAGAAACTTCTATTAAGACAAGCTTTCCCATGACTGTTAAAGTTGATGGTGTAGCTCAAGATGGAACCACGATGTACATTCATAACAAAGTTCACAACCGGACAAGGACCCTCACATGTGCAGGGGTGAGTGTGTGGCGCGAGCCCTACAGTCAGTCCTCAGGCTGCGTACACATTTAATTGTAGAAGATAGCATGGTAAGAGGCTTTGAGAAATTGTTCTTAAGTGAGAAAAATGGAGTCGTAGCAAAGATGGCATGAGAAAACTTACTTAATTTTATAGTTGGATACCCTTGAAAATTCTTACAAACGTACACATGCACTCACACATCCATAGTGCGTGCACACGTGACTGCCAGCCAGCCTGAGCATACAAGGTACTTGTTTTTACTGTGTGTGTGACCTGCTGCCCAGTGTGTCCCTAATGAATGTTATGGGCTGCCACCTCAACAAACGTCTGCCACCGGCTGTGGTCACTCGTTTTTTGTTTAGTTTTGTTTTGTTTAGAGACAGGCTTTTGCTCTATCACCCAGACTCTGGAGTGCAGTGGCACAATCACAGCTCACTGCAGTCTCAAACTTCTGGGCCCAAGCAGTTCACCTGCCTTAACTTCCCAAGTAGCTGGGACTACAAGCATGTGCCACCAGGCCTAATTTTCCTGGTAACTCTTGACTGAGGCTTTGGGTTGTTCCCAGCCACGTGATGCATGCCCTGATCTGACTGTGTGAAGCTGAGTACCTGGGCCTCTTGGGGGTCAGGGGCCTACCTTTTTGAGCATCTGCTTCAGAGTACAGTGTGGCTGAGGCATAGGAAACCTGGGGTCCAGAGTGGGGAACGAGTCCTCACATTTGATTTTATTGGCACTGTATTCTGTTCTGAGTCCAGAGAATCAGAACCAGATCCCTGCTATATAGCAAGGAGTCCACCTCAGACAGCACAGGTTATTGGCAGCGTGGAGAACTTGGAGAGCATCAAAACAGGGCAATGCATTTTCTTATAGGATTAGAAAAGTAATGTCAGAAGCCGCATGGCAAGTAGTTTCTCTGGTAGGTGTCATGCCAAGTACCATCCACTCACTGTCTCATTCGATCCTCACAGCAGGTCCATGAAGTAGAAACTACTATTAGAGCCTGTTTTGTAGAAGAAGAAACTGAGGCTTAGAGAGGTCTAAATCATCGCCCAAGGTAACACAGATACTAAGTGCAGTGCCTAGGATTTAAACCTGTGCCCTTTTATTCTGAAGCTTGTGGCCTTAACCACCATGCATACTGCCCAGTTACTAGTGATACATATACTGGCCCTGTTTTTCCTAGCAAGAAAGAATTCAAGGACTGGGCCCGGTGGCTCATGCGTATAATCCCAGCACTTTGGGAGGCCAAGGTGGGAGAATCATGTGGGACTGGCCTCTCATTCTGCATCCAGGGACTGAGTCAGCTTCCAAAGTGTATTTTCCCCATCTATAAAGTTGGGATCAAGCCTTCCTGCCTGCCCTAGGAAAGCAGTAAAGATCAAGGTGAATAACATGTGTGAGTGTGCCTTATGTGTGCAGCATGAGGCATCCCTTCATCCCCCATTGAGGCCTGTGTGCAGGAGGGGTGTGATCAGTACTGCTGAAGGGATAACAGGTGTGAGTGTCAGACAGGACCATGGCCCAAGAAGCTGCTCTCTTCCCATACAAGGGCCTGGCGGCCACTCCCACCTGAAGAGCTTGATGACACCCACCTTGTTGTGCTGCCTCTCCAGATTGAGGCTCAATGGACCATTAGTCAGGGGTTGCTTATTTGGAGCTGGTGAGACCCATCATCCTGGTTTGCCTGCACTGAGTGGTTTCTCAGCACCCAGGACTTCCTGTTTTAAAATTGGGACAAGTGGGTTGCCCTACCTAAAGCCTTTGCTTCAAGCAGGGCCAGGCTGCCAGGGTACTGGCTGGCCTCCACTTGCTTCTTGGATGTGGCCACCGTGCTGTGCACCTTGAGAATGGCCCTTCAGTGCATCTTCATGGTTTCCTCCCTCTTCATTGTTGGCCCTACCTCAGTTTATACTGTATCACCCCTTAGGAATGTCTTGCCTCTGTTCCCTGTCTACTCAGTTCTCTCTCTAACCCTACAAGGAACATTGCCCTGGCTTTAAAAAACATGGAATTTTGGCCGGGCGCGGTGGCTCAAGCCTGTAATCCCAGCACTTTGGGAGGCCGAGACGGGCGGATCACGAGGTCAGGAGATCAAGACCATCCTGGCTAACCCGGTGAAACCCCGTCTCTAGTAAAAAATACAAAAAAATAGCCAGGCGAGGTGGCGAGCGTCTGTAGTCCCAGCTACTCCGGAGGCTGAGGCAGGAGAATGACATGAACCTGGGAGGCGGAGCTTGCAGTGAGCCGAGATCCGGCCACTGCACTCCAGCCTGGGCGACAGAGCGAGACTCCGTCTCAACAACAACAACAAAAAAATAGAATTTTTACATTACAGAGATATTTAGCACCCTCTTATATACTTTTTTTTTTTTTTCTTAAACACAGTCTTGCTATGTTGCCCAGGCTGGCTTTGAACTCCTGGGCTCAAGCAATCCTCCTGCTTCAGCCTCCCAAGTAGCTAGGATGACAGATGTGCACCGCCGTGCCTGACTTGCTTTTTTTTTTTTTTTTTTTTGCTGTAAAGAAAAGCCATTGTCTGACGTAGGTAGCAAGGCCTTCCACACCTTGCAGGTGAGAAAGCTGTGGTACCATCACATGATTTTCAGAGGTACATCATAGTCAGCAGCAGAACCGTGGTTTGAACTTGGGATGCCAGAATCTTTGGTGTAGTTTTTTTAAACTCATAAGTATATGCAGCCTGAGATATAGCTCTTTTGTTAATTAAAACATCCCTGAAAAGTGAGACAAATTCTTGAACTCGCAAGACATGTTTGTCTACCCAGCAAAAATGTCTTTACAAATTTTAATCCATCCCTTCCTGCATAGTCCTTAGCCACCCCTGCCTCTGCACCTCATCCTGTGACCCGACTGCCGGAGGGGAAAGGTGAATTTAGTTTTGCCGAGAAGGTGGACCACACACTTGCCCAGAGGGCAGGCAGCAGATTCTAATGAGAGCTGATCAGGTGGAAAGGAAGCCTTGGCTTCCCTTTCCAATGTGATGAAAATAGCAGATGACCTGTGCTTCTGGCATAGGAGAGTGGGAGGTGGGTGCCTTTAGCCCCTTTGCAGGGCAGCCCCTCCTTGCGGAGCACTGTGGGCTTTGGTGCAGGCCCAGGGCTGCCAGTGGGCTGAAGTGTTTTGTGAGTTGAGATGGTGACCTTGGTGCTGCCTTCAGCCCCCTGCACTCTCCGCTTCTCTCTGCTTTCTCCCCGTTCCCTTAGGTGAGCACCCCACCGTGTTACCCAACTCCATTCCTCGTCCTCCTCCCTGACAGTTGTCCTCTTGTCTTTTTGTTTGTTTTTGAGATGGAGTTTTGCTCTTGTTGCCCAGGCTGGAGTGCAATGGTATGATCTTGGCCCACTGCAACCTCCGCCTCTCAGGTTCAAGGGATTCTCCTGCCTCAGCCTCCTGAGTTGCTAGGATTACAGACGCCCACCACCACACCCGGCTGATTTTTGGTACTTTTAGTAGAGATGGGATTTCACTCTGTTGGCCAGGCTGGCCTTGAACTCCTAGCCTCAAGTGATCGGCCTGCTTTGGCCTCCCAAAGTGCTGGGATTACAGGCATGAGCCACCATGCCTGGCCACCCTCTTGTCTTTTTAAGGCTGCTGTATAAAACCCACACCTGTTTTCTTACCTGACCTCAGACATTCGAGGCTTGACCAGTCATTGGAGTGATGCACTATTAGAAAGCCAGAGAACCACCCATTTGCTCTGGGCAGCAGCAGGATGGTGGAGAGCGACATTCCGAAAGGGAGGGCCGGGGCCGAGCTTGCTAGGGAGGAGTGGCCGGCTCTGTGTGCGTGGCCAGTGGGTGCACCTCTGTAGCCCTGCATGAGGGTTTGTCCTCCCTGCCACTCCGGAAGGGGATAACAAAGCAGAGGAGACCTGGCTTTTAATTCTAAAGGACAAAAGGAAGGAGCTCTTGACAACAGTGGAGCACACATATCTGCACATTCGCACTTGCTGCTGTGCACACAGCCTTTGCTTTGACTCGGAGTGGAGGGTGGAGGGTGCAGGATGGAGAGGAAAGAGGGCTGCGTGTACAGAGTGACAGGTTAAAAGGAGAGAGAAAAATACGTAATTCATTCTGTTTATTACTACAACAGTTGCAAAATTGGGCCAGGGAGGACAAATTAGGTCGCGGCGTCCGCGTTGACGTGTCTTAGCTTACGTTTCCCCCGTGTTCTAGTGTTACATATTTATGGAAATGTCAGGCTTGCATTGCACTGTTAACTTTCTTACACAGTGACTTATTTTCAGTCATCCAAAGTAGAAAAGATTCTAATTGGTGTAAATCATATATTATGTTTCCGAAAATACCATTTGGTTCATTCTTTCTAGGAACTGTTTGGCTGGCATCTGACTTTCTCTGGGCTTTTGGAGAGTTCCATGGAGACGATGAGTTCTGCTCATCTGCTGAAATGTGTTACTTCATGGGTTATTTGGTGGGAACGTGAGTCTTGCTTTCTTTAAAGGCAAATCTTCCTGTGTATTTGCAGAAATGTGCAGAGATTATTGTGGCTCACCTTGGCTACCTGAATTACACTCAGTATACGGTGACAGTGGGATTTGAACATCTGAAGCTCCCCATCAAGGGAATGAACTTCACAGTAAGTATACCAGCTGACTGCACGTTTCTATGGCTCATGTTCTGGTTCCCATTCTTTTGCTCAATGATTGAAATACATCTCAACATCTAAATAATGTTAATTTGGAAAGTGGAGGACATGTAAAATTTTTAAAAATTATAGGAAAACTACAGTTTCTTAAGTTTATGGAACCAAGAATAGCTTCAATAGCATAGAGACAAGGCAAACCTTAGGTGTCTTGAGATTTAGAAAAGAGAGTGTATAGTGTGTTCAGCTGCAAGGTAATGAAGGGGTTAGCAGGTAGACCCTCCTGCAGACGCAGCACCCCCTTCTCCGGCCCCTGTGAGTGGTTGTCAGTCTCTGCCTGAACTGCTGGTGAATGGGAGGGCACTATTCTAATTGTTAGACTGTCCTTTCTTGTGTCCAGCTGAAATCTCCCCTTTCCACTCATTAGGAGTCAGTAGAACCAGCGTAGTGACGAGGAGTGGGGATTTGGACTGGACGGTGAGCTGGGTTCTCGCCCTACCTCCATCATTGACCATGTGATTTTGTTGAGCCTCAGTTTTCTTATGTGTAAAATAGCTGCTTCATAGAGCTGTGAATATTAAATGGAGATACTAATGATACTAATGGATACCTTCAAAAAAAAAAAAAAAAACAGCTTTATCAAAGTAGAAAGTTTGCCTTTTTAGTGAAAGCATACATTCAGTGGTTGTTTGTTTGTTTGTTTTGAGATGGAGTCTCACTCTGTCACCAGGCTGGAGTGCAGTGGCTGCGATCTTGGCTCACTGCAACCTCCACCTCCCGGGTTCAAGCAGTTCTCCTGCCTCAGCTTCCCAAGTAGCTGGGATTACAAATGTGCGCCACCATGCCCAGCTAATTTTTGTATTTTTAGTAGAGATGGAGTTTCACCATGTTGGCCAGGACGGTCTCGATCTCCTGACCTGGTGATCTGCCCGCCTTGGCCTTCCAAAGGCTGGGATCACAGGCATGAGCCACTGCGCCCGGCCCATTCAGTGATTTTTAGCACAGTCACAGAGTTGTCCAGTCATTCTGGTTCCAGAACACTTTCATTGCCTCTTAAAGAAACCTGTTAGTAGTCATTTCCCATTCCCTCCCCACAGTCCTTGGCAATCACTAACGTTCTCTCTGTCCCCATGGATTTGCCTGGTCTGGACATTTCATGTGAATGGAATCACGCAACGTGTGGTCTTTGGTGACTGGCCGCTTTCACTTAGTGAAAGCAGTGATGTCTCAAGGTCCATCCAGGTTGTCGCGGGCTCAGTACTTCACTCCTTCGTTTTGCTGGATGATATTTTGTTGTATTGCTAGACCACATTTTGTTGATCCGTTCATCAGTTGACAGGCATTTGGGTTGTTTCCTGTTTTTTGGCTGTTGTGAATAATGCTGTTGTGAACTACACAAAATGAGTTTTCTCCTCTGTCTACCCTATAGCCCTTTGAAGGCTGCCGTCTCCTCCCCTCTGAAATTGTTCTTTTCTTTCACACTGTGCTGGGGATGTGACCTCTGCACCCCTCTGGCTCCAGGTTTCCTTCCTGAAGCTGCCCCAGTCACCCGGCTGCAGCGGCAGGTGTTCCTGATGTGGAAGGAGCAGGTGGCCCTGGGCTGTGCTAGTGGGACACCTGAGCTGGCTCTCTCTCACTAGTGGCCTCTTCCTTTCGGCCCTTTGCCTCAGCCAGCCTTTCCAGATCTTTTGGATCTGAATCTGGTGTCTGGTCTTTGCAGTCTGAGTGATCTCCTGGATCTTTGTCCTCAGAGAATCTGATTAGTATTCTGCTTGTGTCCTCTGGTTCATGGTGCCGGGGGGGATCCCAGATGGGGTCTGAGGCAGGTGCACTGAGCTTAGGCATACTTTGATGTAGTCCTTTGCTAACCATCTGTGCTTTAGACTTCACTATTTCAGAATCATTCTGATTCAACAGTGCAGACAAACAAGGGATCTCTCCCTTCCATCATCATCTTTATTAGAACATCATCTCCTACAAGCCTTTTATGGTTCTCAGCACCTTTCTCCAGAGGCTGTAGTTCATCCTGACCCTATTCCATGGGTGTGGGCCACTGTTTTATTTGCCTTTGTGGGTTTTGTCCTTCCATCTTTTGTATCTGTTTATTTCCTCTTAAAGTTGTTCCTGAAGAATTTGGTACATATCTTAGGTAAACTAGGTACATGCATTCTGCCATTGCTGATGGAAGGCAAGTGATACAATATTGTTGTGGGGCTCAAAAAGGAATGGGTTCAAAAGACGTTACCGTGGGAACCACTCACCTTGAATTACAGCACAGCCAGAGCTTCATTTCTGGTGGCACTCTTCAGCATCTGGAAAGACAATCCTTAAGACCCTTGGGGATTTGTTAGGGATGTCACCGAAGATTTTTCTGCGTTTTTTTTTTTTTTTTTTTTTGAGACGGAGTCTCGCTCTGTCACCCAGGCTGGAGCGCAGTGGCCGGATCTCAGCTCACTGCAAGCTCCGCCTCCCGGGTTCACGCCATTCTCCTGCCTCAGCCTCCCAAGTAGCTGGGACTACAGATGCCCGCCACCTCGCCCGGCTAGTTTTTGTTTTTGTATTTTTTTAGTAGAGACGGGGTTTCACCGTGTTAGCCAGGGTGGTCTCGATCTCCTGACCTCGTGATCCGCCCATCTTGGCCTCCCAAAGTGCTGGGATTACAGGCTTGAGCCACCGCGCCCGGCCTTTTCTGCGTTTTTGTACATTTCATTTCCCCAGCAGCCAGCATAGCGCCCAGCGGCTGCTAGGCTTAATAGATATGTATTGGTTGAATGAAAGAACAGCAATACAGCACCTTACAAATTCAGAAATTCACGTGGCAACAGACTTCTGAAATTATGTTCATCCTCGCTATAAACCAAAGATTAGAGAGTTCAAGATTGAATGCCTTTTTTTTTTTTTTTTTTTTTTTTTTGAGACAGAGTCTCGCTCTGTCACGCAGGCTGGAGTGCAGTGGCATGATCTTGGCTCACTACAACCTCCGCCTCCCGGGTTCACGCCATTTTCCTGCCTCAGCCTCCCAAGTAGCTGGGACTACAGGCGCCTGCCACCACGCCCAGCTAATTGTTTGTATTTTTAGTAGAGACGGGGTTTCACCGTGTTAGCCAGGATGGTCTCAATCTGCTGACCTCGTGATCCGCCCGTCTCGGCCTCCCAAAGCGCTGGGATTACAGTTGTGAGCCACCGTGCCCGACCATGAATGCCTTTTTTTAACCAATCAATCTTCATAGTTTGGGCTGGGAGCAGTAGCTTATGCCTGTAATCCCAGCACTTTGGAAACTCGATGCAGGAGGCTTGCTTGAGCCCAGGAGTTGGAGACCAGCCTGGACAACATAATGAAATCCCATCTTTGTTTTTTTGTTTTTGAGACGGAGTCTTACTGTGTCTCCCAGGCTGGAGTGCAGTGGCGCGATCTCAGCTCGCTGTAACCTCTGCCTTCCAGGTTCAGGCAGTTCTCCTGCCTTAGCTGTAATCCCTAGTAGCTGGGATTACAGCTACTAATAGCTGTAATAGTTCACCATGCCCTGCTAATTTTCATGTATTTAGTACAGATGGGGATTTACCACTTTGACCAGGCTGGTTTCAAACTCCTGACCTCAGGTGATCGGCCTAGCTGAGACCACATCTCTAAACAAAATGTTAAAAGTTAGCCATGCATAGTGGTGCATACCTGTAGTCCCAGCTGCTAGGGAGGCTTACGTAGGAGGATCACTTGAACCTAGGAGTTTGAGGCTGCAGCAAACTGTAATCACACCACCCTGGGTGACAGAGTGAGACCCTGTCTCACAAAAAAAAACAGTGCAAATATTAAAAACAACAAATGAGATAACATGGTGGGCGAAATGCTAGGACACAAGTTTTCTCATACACATGAATGGGGGTGTAAACTGATTTAACTTTTGGGGTAATTTAGCAGCGTATAAAAGCCTCTACTTGCATGTTCTTTTTGACTTAGTAATTCTAATTCTAGAAATTTATACTAAGGAAGTAGAAACATATACAGTGGTTTATGTTCAAACCTATTCTTCAGAGTAAGAAGTTGGGAGCAATCTGTATTTCAGCAGTAGATTTCTGGTTAAACAATTAGTTCTGTAGCTACTAAAATAGTAAGTTAATAGGATAGCTAGCACAAACTATATATTGATTTAAGAAAACAAAAGCGCATGAATTAGAAGTGTTTCTGTTATAGAAAACTAGATGTCTAGAAGGCTGTCTCTGGGTGGTGGGATTAATGTTTAATTTCTTCTGTGTTTTCCTTTATTTACCGTGATGAATGTTTATTATTTTTATTACCCGAAAAGAAAATTATTTGAAAACAAAACAAAAACTCCTGAGGCAACTAATATTTGAAGGGGGAAGTCCTGGGCATGTGCCAGAATCCATCCCAGAACCTCAGGTGCTGGTGGGCCCTGCGTGCTGTTTCTTCTGGTGTGACTCAGTATCCTCAGAGAATCTGATCATCAGCGTTACGCTGGCAGCTTGTATAGAGATGCACTAAGAAATTAGAGAACTGTATGCAAAGTGTTTCTATGTCTTTTATAAAGTTGTTGTTGAAGACATTGTGTTGTGAACTTTAAACCTCCAAAATTTTTTCCACATTATTATTTTTTAGAGCAATTTTAGGTTCACAGCAAAATTGAGAGGAAGGTACAGAGTTCCTAAATGCTGTCTCCTCCCACACATGCACAACCTCCCCCATTGTCAACATCTCGCACCAGAGTGGTACGTTTGTTACAGTTAATGAACCCACATTGACACACCACCCAGAGCCCACAGTGTACATAGGGGTTCCCTCTTGGTGTTGTACATTCTGTAAGATCCACTATTTGTAGTACCATAGAGGTTCATTTCAGTACCCTGAAAATCCTTTGTACTCCACCTATTCATCCCTCCCTCCTCAGACCCCTGGCAGCCACCTGTCTTTTTACTGTTTCTATGGTTTTGCTTTGTTTATTTATTTTCTTGAGACAGTCTGTTGCCCAGGCTGGAGTGCA